GAGGCAGAGGTTGCAGTGAGCCGAGATTGCACCACTGCACTCCAGCCTGGGCAGCACAGCGAGACTCTGTCTCAAAAAAAAAAAAAAAGATCCAGCAACTCCATCAGTTAACCTGTGAAAAAACAAGGCTCAGAGATAATGACCAGTCACAGTTAGTGGCCATGCTGAGACAACAGCTCAGGTCTCTAATCTGCCTGACCTGCTCCATTCACTGGGTCATGTGGTCGTTCTGGCTCTATTTGTTGTTTGTTTGTTCTTGTTTTGTTTTGTTTTGTTTTTTGAGATGGAGTCTTACTCCGTCAACCAAGCTGGAATGCAGTGGCATGATCTTGGCTCACTGCAACCTCTGCCTCCTGGGTTCAAGCAATTCTCCTGTCTCAGCATCCCGAGTAGTTGGGATTACAAGCGTGTGCCACCACACCGACTAATTTTTGTATTTTTAGTAGAGATAGGGTTTCACCATGTTGGGCAGGCTGGTCTTGAACTCCTGAACTCAAGTGATCCACCCCTTGGCCTCCCAAAGTGTTGGGATTACAGGCATGAGTCACTGTGCCCGGCCATGTTCTGGCTCTATTTGTAAGAGCTACGGATGTTTAAAGAAAAATATGTTCTCAAAACAAGTGCAGGCATTAAAGATACATCTTATAACTTAATAATTGAAAGTTTTCCCTTAAAGTCAATTAAAGGGAGGCTTCTCTTTCCTAGTATAAGAAGAGACCTAGGCCAGGCACGGTGGCTCAAGCCTGTAATCCCAGCACTTTGGGAGGCCGAGGTGGGTGGATCATGACGTCAGGAGTTCAAGACCAGCCTGGCCAATATGATGAAACCCCGTCTCTACTAAAAATACAAAAATTAGCTGGGGGTGGTGGCATGCGCCTGTAATCCCAGCTACTCGGGGGGCTGAGGCAGGAGAATTGCTTGAACCTGGGAGGCGGAGGCTGCAGTCAGCCGAGATCATGCCACTGCACTCCAGCCTGGGTGACAGAGTGAGACTCCATCTCAGGAAAAAAAAAAAAAAAAAGAGAGAGACCTATTCTGCTCCAAAATCCTCAGGACTGGGAGATGGGACCCCAGGTTTTCTGACCCTGTGAACGCCTGCCTCCCTATACTACCTGTGACTAGATCTTGCTGCTAAAATTGTGGGGTGTCTAGCTGTGTGCATATTGCCAGAAAAGATTGTAACATGACTATTACTAAATCAATCGGGTGCTTCCAACTTTATACAGCACTTTAACACCCACTGTCTCATTTAAATTGAGCAGACATCTCCCAGGAAGCTCCCAGGGGATGCTGTATGTCAGGGAGTAACAGCCTTTAACAGGGAACCTGGGCCCTGCCTGGGTCTCCGCCTTGCTGCTGGCCACAGGGCCCTGCCTGGAGGCCCAGCTGTGCTGCAGAGGAACTGTGGGCAACACATGGGCACCTGCTTACTCAGGAGTGCACCTGCGAGGTAGTTCAGGCAGGTTAGGCTGTGTCCTAAATTCCTACTATGCTAGAATCTTCTACCCACCACTGACTGCTACCTAAAGGATTCTAGGGAGATTAGAGGTGTCAGGAGAAGTCACTGGAAAGAGAGCTGAGTGACAACATCAGATTCCCAGGCAGAGGGGCCTTACAGGCTTTTCTAGAACCATGCCCTGTTTTACAGTCTCAGAACCTAAGACTAGCAGAGGCCAGGGGAGGAACTCAGGGCTCCTGCCTCCTAATCTGAGCTCTTCTTTACCACACTGGTTTCTGGATTCCCAGGCCTACAGTGTGTCTCTGAGTAACAGGTCACTTTTTTTTAGGTGACTTTTTTTTTTTTTTTTTTTTTTTTTTGAGACAGGGTCTCACTCTGTTTCCCAGGTTGGAGTACAGCGATGCAATCTTGGCTCACTGTAGCCTTGACCTCCTGGGCTCAAGCGATCCTCCCACCTCAACCCCCAGAGTGGCTGAGACTACTGGCAAGCACCACCTGGCCTGGCTAAGTTTTTTATTTTTCGTAGAAATAAGGTCTCACTATGTTGCCCACGTAGATCTCAAACTCCTGGCCTCAAGTGATCCTCCCACCTTGGCCTCCCAAAATGCTGGGATTACAGGTGTGAGCCAATCAATACACCTGGCCAACAGGTCACTTTGCTGCGATCTCCCCAGATGCTGGCCAGCTGTCCCTATCTCCTATCTACTGCTATCTCTGTTACACCAGGCAAGAGCCCCTTGTTCAAAATCCATAGACCTGGAGAATCCTCCCAGGACTCTTCCTGGCAGGCGTTGACCCATCAAAGGAACTACTGGAGAAAGGCCCATGGCCAGCCCTCTAGGCCTCAGCTGGGGGTATCCAAGCCCTGTCCACTGTGAGCACACTGTTTTTGGCTCCAGGAGGCAGAGGATGGAGCAAGGAGGCTTTGGCTATTCTCCTTCCTCACCCTGAGGCCCCAAGAGAAGTCAGGGGGCAGTCCTGCAAAGAAGGCAGACAGTCCCAACCCACGTGCGGCCACTGGCTTGGGATGCCTGGGCAGGGAAATCCCCGTGTCTATTGTCACCCCTGGCTTATGAGTGGATGTGAGTGAAGCATGACAGCCATCCTGCTGCTCCTTATCCCTGTGAGATCGAAGCCTGGGGCAAGCCAGACAAGGTGAGCAGCCTATACCAATGGTAATCTTCGCCCGAGCAGAGGCGTTCATTCAGGTCTCTTCACCAGAAAGCACCCTCCCCTGCAGGTGCAGCCAATTCGCGATTAGCTCTTGCACCTGCTTTAGAGGCTCTGGGGAAGGGAGGCTCATGGGACAACCCTCTTGGTCATTGCGGGTCTTTCTGCTGAGCAATGGGAATGATGGCGTCATTGGGGCCAGAGTCACCCCCTTCCCAGTTCCCACTCCAGGGCCAGGCATCCCCAGGGCTTTCTCCAGGCTAACTGTGAGCTCCTTCACTTCTCTGGAGAGGCTGCAGAAGAGAAGACACCACAAAGGCTTGGTGTCTGGGGTCTCTCCTCTCCCATCAAAGGGCTTCTACCATATGAAAGCCTCCGGACTGCTGCTCAAGGGACATGGACCTGGGTGGTCACCTAGCCAGCTGGTAGGTTTTTATCATGAAGTGGGAGGCACCAGTGAAAACTGATTGTGCTCCAGCCCCAAAATAGGCTACAGGGCTCTATAAATAGAAACTATAATTATCGCCAGAGTTCCTCAAGAAGACCCTCTATCTATATGGAGACCAGACTGGGAGGAACTCACACACAGTGAGGGCACTCACACAGTTATGGACAATAAATCTGGTGGCTTGACATCCCTTTTTGCTCTAGTGGCCAAAGCAAAAGCTCTAGGAAGCCACTAGGAAGCACTAGAATAAATTTTCAAGCCACCTCTAGCAAGTACATGGAATCAAATGCTGTGTATGTGTGTGCTGTTCTCACTGCTGGCTTTTAGCATTTTCCTTCTTATATATTTTTCCCTTTCCCATTCACTCTCAATAATTTACATAATTTTGGTATTAAATGAGTTTCAAGCAGCCATCTCAAATCCTGTGTCCAAGTAGATAAAAATAAACTAAAAACTATATTTCAATCCAGGCTATCTTGGCCACTTGTTTTTCTGTAGGGTCTTTTGACAGAGCAAAAGAAGACAAGTACTCACCCTGCATGCATGAAGATGTATGTCAGGTAGCGCCAAGCCTGTGCTCGCAGCTGTGGGTGGTAAACCAGGGAGTTCTTCAAGTAACGTGGATGAGTTACCTGCAGTACAAATTGACCTAGCGACACCCCATTGTAGAGGAAAAAGGCAACCTGGACAGAACAGAGAGAGTCTGTTACTAGGTGCACACTGTCCAGGAAACTTCCTGTTGTGCTAACTAGCACTGGGAGTCCCTACGGGAAGTTATCACCTTTCCTTCTCAGAGAAAGAGGGATACCCCACAGTCAGTACCCAACTGAGCAATTTTTTTTTTTTTTTTTGAGATGGAGTTTCACTCTTGTTGCCCAGGCTGGAGTGCAATGGCACAATCTCGGCTCACGGCAACCTCCGCCTCCTGGATTCAAGCAATTCTCCTGCCTCAGCCTCCCGAGTAGCTGGGATTACAGGCATGTGCCACCACGCCCAGTTAATTTTGTATTTTTTAGTACAGATGGGGTTTCTCTATATTGGTCAAATTGGTCTTGAACTCCCAACCTCAGGTGATCCGCCCACCTTGGCCTTCCAAAGTGCTGGGATTACAGGCGTAAGCCACCATGCCCGGTCTAAGCTGAGCTTTTAACCACCCCTCACCCACTTCTGTTTGCTTATTTTGTGTCAAATGGAAACAAAATGGTCCTGGGGTCTCTTTGTCCACACTTCCTCCATGCTAAGTAGAAAGGATTTGGAGGATTTTGAACTTTAATTCCAGTAATAACTCACATACCCACTTGGGAGATGACAAATTCCACACGGGTTGATTTCTTTAAAAGCTATAGTGAAATAAACATGAAATTTACCATCTTAATCAGTTTTTTTGGGTTTTTTTTTGAGACAGGGTCTTGCTCTGTCACCCAGGCTGGAGTGCAATTATGCAATCTTGGCTCACCACAACCTCCGCCTCCCGGATTCAAGCGATTATCCAATCTCAGCCTCCCAAGTATCTGGGATTGCAGGTGTGCACCACCATGCCCAGCTGATTTTTGTATTTTAGTAGAGATAGGGTTTCACCATGTTGGCCAGGCCAGTTTAGAACTCCTAACCTCATGTGACCTGCCCACCTTGGCCTCCCAAAGTGCTGGGATTACAGGCATGAGCCACTGAGCCCGGCCTTAATCAGTTCAGTGGCATTAAATGACATTCATGTTGCTGTGCTACCATCACTGCTATCCATCCACAGAACTCTTCATTTGCAAAACTGAAACTCTGTACCCACTGAACAATGACATCCCACCCCCTCCTCCCCTCCAGCCCCTGGCAACCACTATTCTACTTTCTGTCTCCATGAATTTGACTACTCTAGGTACCTCATATAAGTGGAATCATACAGTATTTGTCTTTTTGTGTCTGGCTTATTTCACTTGGTATAATATTTTCAAGGTTCATCCATGTTGTAGCATGTGTCAGAATGATCCCCCCCTCTTTTTTTTTGAGACAGGATCTCGCTCTGTTGCCCTGGCTAGAGCGCACTGGGGCAATCTCAGCTTGCAACTTCTACTTCCCAGGCTGGTCTTGAACTCCTGGGTTCAAGCAATCCTCCTGCCTTCTCAAGTGCTGAGATTACAGGCATAAGCCACTGCACCCAGCCTTCCCTTCCTTTTTTTTGAGATGGAGTCTCGCTCTGTCCCCCAGGCTGGAGTGCAGTGGCATGATCTCAGCTCACTGCAACTTCTGCCTCCCGGGTTCAAGCAATTCTCCTGCCTCAGCCTCCCAAGTAGCTGGGATTAGACGTTTGCCACCATACCCAGCTAAGTTTGTATTTTTAGTAGAGATAGGGTTTCACCATGTTAACCAGGCTGGTCTCAAACTCCAGACCTCAGGTGATGCACCTTCCTCGGCCTCCCACAGTGCTGGGATTACAGGCGTGAGCCACCGGGCCCAGCCTCCACTGTGAACATAGACCACATTTTGTTTATCCATTCGTCTACTGACGGACACTTGGGTTGCTTCTACCTTTTGACTATTGTGAATAATGCTACTATGAATATGGGTGTATCAATATCTCTTCCAGTCCCTTTCAATTCTTTTCAGATATAGTCAGAAGTGGAATTGCTGGATCATATGGTAATTCTATGTTTAATTTTTTGAGGCAACGCCAGACTGTTTTCCATAGCAGCTGCACCACTTTACCTTCCCACCAACAGTGCACAAGGGCTCCAGTTTCTCCACATTCTCACCAACATTCCACAGAAGTTGATTTTGCACACGTGACTGAAGCATACTTGTTTAATCTCTAAAAGGGTATTTATCTTAACTCTTTTTTTTTTTTTTCTGGGACTCCTGCTAAAATGTATCATTTACGTCCCTGTGTTCTTAATCAGGGCATATGCATAACTGTTTAAGAATATCTCAGGTATGAGCTGGGCG